GGGGGTCGAGGTTGCGGATTTGGTGAGTTGAGTCCGAGGGAACCTGTGGGCGATGGTGGGGGGCGTCCTCTGCCTGCTGCTCCCGGAGCTGAGGGGAGAGACCGAGGCGTCGCTCCGGTTTTAGGGGTTGTGTCCCACGCAGGGCTTGGAGAGGCGAAAGGAGAGGTGGGGTGGCCCCAGGGTCCAGGGATGAGGGGCATTTGAAGGGGCGAGGTGAAGAGCTAAATTCGGGAATTGGGGTCGAGTTTGGCGGGGTCGCTGAGACCGGGGAGTGGGTGGAGACGTAGGGGGACCTGCAGGCCAGTGACTTGTTGAAGGGTGGTGCTTCGAGCCGAGTTGCAAAGGGCAGGTGAGGTGGTCTCTGTAGGTCACTGAGTCATTGGGGGTGGGGATGGACTGGCCCCCCAGGGGCTTGCAGAGCTGAGCCCTAGCCACTGACCTTTGAAAGTTGCAGGTATGAAGGTGTGGCCGACTGTTGGGGGAGCCGCGTGAGATGGGGATGTCCTGGGAAACAGCAGCGGGATTGGTTATTATGTTCCCAGGGAAGGGCCAGAGGCCTGAGGTGGTGTTGCTGGGGGCCTTCTGTGAAGCCGACCAGGCGTGAAGGAGGCTCTCTGCTGAGAGCTGGAGAGCTCCGGCCTGTGGGAGGGAGGGAGGAAAGAGCAGGTTTTAAGTGATAAAAAGGAGTGTCCTTGGGCTTGAATCGTGGCCCCAGAAAGGGACTAATAAAGTTGTTAGACAAGGCGAAGAAATGGACATACCTGTCTCTTGGCGGAAAGAGACTCTAAGGTGGACAGACATGTGCAGAGTGGAACTTGGGTGCAGGCAGCCCTGGGTGCTCCCTGGCCGAGACCACTGCGAAGGCTGTGACTGCGGAGGTCCGAGCCGTCAGTGTGCTGGAGCATCTAGCGTTGGATAGAGCTGAGAATTAAGTGTTCACTGTTGGAGGTTTGGACTCTGCCCTGAGCCCAGAGGTGCGTCAGAGTTAGCAGGTGGGAAAGATAAGCAGTGTGGGGGCTCGGGGAGTAAGCAAGAGCTCGGTGGGAGCACTCGCGTGTGGGTAAACCCTTGACTCGTGGAGACCGTGCAGTACCCTTGTCCTCTTGGTTTTGTTTCTTGACTGGATCCCAGTGATTTGGGAAGTTTCAGGAAGGAAGAAACGTCAATGTGAGTGATGTAACGGTCTTAGGTACAGATTTCAGAAAGACCTTAGTAACTTAAAAAACAGACAGGTTAATACAAGTAGCAGTTACAAGGCGCAACGATGCTTTGAGGAATGAGGATTCTGATAGTTGGTAGTTTGAACAGGAAGAGGAAATTCAGTGTGAGGTTGAAGCAGGGTGACTCCCATAGTTTCAGACCTAGAGAGTCGGTAGAGTTGGTATTGAACTGTTGGAATAGTGTTTTATCGGAACAGTGTTGATATAAGATGATGATGGTTCCAGAAGATGTGGTAGACGATAAGGTCACTGACGAAAAGATGAAGGGCCATTTTCCACCATATTCTCTTATAAGGCAAGTTGTGTGTAACTTGGCTCTTGAGCTAAGGATTCCTGACTCGGATTCTTAGATGACTAGCATAGGCGAAGAAGTACTTACACACCTGGAATTTATTCTACGGGATATCTCTCCATAGTGTCCGAAGTGTCTGCTTCTGGAAAGCCAAAGAAAATGCTCTCTGGCTTGTGAGAGAGAGGAAAATGCACGCGCGCACACAGAGTGATACCACACACGTCATAATCAGCGGAATACTTGGTGGCGCTCTGTGGCTACAGCCTTGGAGTGGGAGTCGAGAAGCTCGCTGTTGCATTGACTCATGTGTGACTTGAACATGTCTCTCACGTGTATTCTTCAGTTTCCCGTGGGTGACGTCCGGTGCCCCTGCCCTGGCCGCTGGGCACGCCGCAGCGCTGGCTGAGTGAGTGCCTGTCTGCAGAGAGCCCAGCACCTCATGCAGCCCCACTTTCTTCGTAAGAAACTCTGGGGGCCGACTAAAGTCAGTTTTGTCACGTTTCATCAAACACAGGCTTATTCTGCAGTTTGGGCTTTGTTTTTATACTAGTTTTGAGAGGTGAAGCCTTTTCACATTGAGTGCGGAAGGGTGATGATGGCTGGAGAATTCTAAGCAAAGGTCCCCAGGGGAAATCGGGGCTCTACTCGCTACCCAGCTAACCTAGGCTGACGCTGCCCCAAAGCTGTATGACCTTGAGCATGTTCCTTGACTTCCTGCTCCCTTAATTTTCTTCAGTTATGAAGTAATTTCAGTGAAATCACCAACTTGCCTGCCTTGGTGACAGTGGTGACAGCATCTGTGGAAACTTTACTTGCTCTAGACAGGACACAGCTGCTGATCCGTGTCCTCCATCCCCTTTCGCACCCTAACAAGCTGAGGTGTTCAGAGAAGCATGTGCTTTAAATGCATAAAGTAAAATACATGGAATTACTGGGAAAACAGTTATCAAATGTTAATCACCAAAGGTGAGCTGCTGGCCTCTTTGTATACATTAAGTAACAGAATGTAGCTGCAGGCCTAAGGCTGCTGTAATTTTGACAGCCCTGCTAGTGTCAATATTAGGTTGCAGAATCTGTAGCAACTGGTACTACGTGACACCAGCGTGTCCTTGGTCATAGGCCCTGCGACTGTCGTTGCCATCCTGGGCTGTTGCCGTCTAGTCAGGACAGCGGAACTTTCCTCAGAGGCATTTGCATGGAGACGCAGGTGTCCCAGCGGGCCGGCACTCTGCTCCCTGGCCCTCCTCAGCGTCTCCACAGACCCCGTGCGAGGTGGTGAGTCCCGGGTGAAGGCCTCCCCCACGCCAGCTGAGCTAAACGATCTCGTGGTCGCTGGCGTTTGAAGCCTTGCAATGTGTTTTCAGCGTTCTACCACACCACGAACAAGGGCGTGGGGAGAGAGGCAGGAGTCTATTTGCAGCCTGTGGTGCTGTTCTTGGTTGCAGAGGAAGGTGAGACAGTGATGAGGGGAGGCTTTTGTGCCGAATGGACTTTGCTTCTGTGAACACCCAGTCTTCTTGGGCTGGGTCGGAGGACTGTGCTCCGGCTTCCTGCATTTTGGGCGTTAGCGGTTTTATCTCCCTTCCCCGTTTTTGACCTCATTATCTTCTGACTGTTCTTCTTCCATGTGTCATTTTGGCCACAGAGCATTGGGAAACGGTTGGTGTCTTTGCAGTCAGTCTACATCGGGGTGTGAACTTTCCCATTCTCTTCATCCTTTTAGGACTGAATGCAGGGCTAGCTGGTGTCACTCCACTTTGACTTAAAATTTCCTGTTGGGAGACAGGGCTCATTCTTGGCAAGACCCCATGTCCTGATGTAGAAGAGAAAGCAGAGTGGACGTCTTGGGAGGTAAAGAAACCAACCGTCAGCACGTACCCCTCTGACGCAAGCCGACTGTGATGCGATCTGTTTCTGGGGAGTCTCTTGCGCCTTTACTCATTGCTGTGGCAGTTCCCAAGGCGAAGGTCATCCAGCTCAACCCAGGTCAGCACTGCCATCGTGGCCACTTTCCGTGAGCGGAGCCTTTGCGTGAACTCCCTGGGAAAGGCAGGTGGCGAGCAGTTAAATCGGTATTTAACAGGAATCATGTCATCCTTGGGGGGGTGACGCGAGGCCAGGGTAGCCCCAAGCTCACCGTAGTGCATGGCTCACCCACTGTTTTGAGTTTCTCTTGGGCGCTGGGTGCTAAGGTGGTTGATGTCCCTTCCCCAGGGAGTCCCTGTCGCACGTGGCACAGCTTTGCGTGTTGCAGGCTCTGGGGCTCCAAGGACGTGCCTTGGGGTGCCTGGCAGTCAAAGAGAACCTCACGCAGAAGGACGTTGGCGCTGAGCTTTGACAGGGTAGCCCCTCTTCTAAATGGGGATTGTTGAAATTCATTCTTACTTGCTTACCTTTTGTCAAGACTATTGACAATGTAACTTTTTATCTGCTTGTATAAAACGGGTTCGCTTCAGAGACCGATAGATTTTTACCTTTTGAGCGGAGCCACATGGGCGCCCCGGCGCGGGCTGGTCTGTGCGTCCCTGCCCCTGTGTGGTCTCCCCACCATGGGGAAAGGTTGGTTCTTCCCAGTTGCGCGTTTGTTCCGAGAGGAAGCTTTTAGTTGCTGGGTGCCAAGAGTTGAGAACGAGCTAGGAATGGAATCCTGAGGTCTTTTAGCTTCACATTCTAAGTTGCTCCTATGCCTTTTATGGAGTAGTGGACCAGACCTAGAAGTGAAATTTGTTAGACATGACATAGTCGTAATAAACTAGAGTTCTCGGAGCAGGAAAACAAGAAAGCGTCATTAGGAGACTTGAGACCAGAGTTGAAGAGGTGATTCTGAGCTGGGTCAGATCCATTTGGAAATTTTCATACAACTTTGTGACACCCTAATAGAGTCTGCTTTAAAGATTCCTGGGAAACTTGGCCTTGGGACCGTTTGGAGCTGCTTTCTTCTTTTCACCTTCAGAGAAGGCTAAGTGGCATCATTCCCGCTTACAGGGGCTCCTCTGGGGAGTTGTTCCGCTGGACCAGTAACGGTGCTTTATTGACTTACCTAAGTCACTTCTTTCCAGCTTTGCACACAGTAGGCACGTGCCCAGAGGGCATAGCCAGGCCGGTCAGCCGCTGGCTCCCCGAAAGCCCACGCACACATATCTTGCCACTGATGCTGCCATGTAGGGTCACCGTCGCGCACAGAGGCACTACAGCCTCACCGCTTCCTCTGAGAAGCCAGAAGCACAGCTGGACTCTTGTCTCGTCCGCCTGTGTGGTCAGCGCTCAGCCCTGCACGGATTCGGAACAGGCAGAAACAAAGTGAAGGTTCTTTTCTTACTAAATGCTCAGAAAGTCAGAAAATAGAACAATTGATTTTATTTGCCCTTAGTATTTTTCCAGTCTCTGAAAACTAAATGTGTACTTGGGGAGGGGGGTAAGTTCAAGGGCCTTGAAATAGCCGCCAGTTGGATGATAAGCCTTTTGCTGCTTTATTCCTGGGAACTTAATTGTGTTTATGTAGGAAGTAACAACCACCTCTCAACTCCCATGGAGTATGTAGAAAACCTCTGGAAGATGTTCAGTTACAAAGTAACAATGTTCGTTTTTTAAAGCCTACTTAAGAATTTTTCTTTGCTTTATCCTCCTGCAGTTGGGGGTCACCTCTGAGAAAGGGGTTCCTGGACACCTCACCCCCAGAATGAGCACTGCGATTTCGTGACCCTCGGGATTTGGGTGAGTAGCCTGGGGGTGAGTCAGTCGGGCATGTGGCTGGCTGGGAAGTGATCTTGTGGGTAAGCTTCACTTTCACGCGACAGGAAGTTTCTGAGCAAATGTCATGTGCCAGAGTCGGGAGCGAGTGCTGGGAAGGTCCGTCTTGGCCCTGCTGAGAGAGGGGAACGCTACACGGGGGTCATGTCGCACGGCAGTTCCGTGTCAAGCCAGAGCCGGGAAAGGATGCTCTGCAGGGCGCGCGACGGAGAAGTTTTGTGGAGCTAGGTGGCGTTCGTACCTTTCTCGCCGAAAAGAAATCACACCCGCTGAGATTCATCCATTCGGTGAAAGCACTCAAACTTACCACGGAAGGGTCGGGGTGAGGCGGAGCGGAGTCAGAATGATGCCCGAATTTCTGGCACGAACAGCGGGGTGGGTGCGGGCCTGCTTCCCGAACCGTGAAAGTCTGGAGGTACGTTGGGAGGGAGGCTTGGGGCTGAGGAGGTCAGCCTTGGTCGTGTCAAGTCTCAGACACGCGGGGAGCTGGGGTGGGCTGAGGAGTCGCTGGCCTGGGGTGAACTTAAGGATGAGAAGAGGACCTGAGCCGTGTCCCGGAGAGCATGCTGTCTGGGCTGGGCAGAAAAGAAGCCAGCAGAAGAGGCAGATGAAGAGTGAGAGGCAGGCAGGGGCGGCCTGCAGCGTGGAGGCCCAAGGGGGGGTCCCGAGAAACAGGGGCCCTGGCAGAGTCTGAGCGACGGCGGGGGCCGGCGGTGCCCTTGACAAAGCAGTGGCCGGTGTGATGGGGGTGGAAGCAGGTTTGATGGGTGATTGGCAAGGAAGGAAGGCACGGCTGTGTCTTGTCGGGTCAGTGGAGAAGCAGGCGCTGGCGGGAACAGACTCAAGCTGGTTTTTGTTTGGAGCTGGAAGATACTCCAGCACATCCCAGGAGATGCCCAGTAAATGCAGGGGCCAGAGGGGGCGGCCGGGGTGAAGCAGGAGAGCTCTCAGCACGCTGGGCGCATGGGCCCAGGCCATCTGAGACGGGGCTGCAGTTTGAGGGAAAGTGAGCCATTTTCTGTTTCAGTAATGGAGGAGAGAGAGAAGACAGGTGCTGATGTTGAAATGGATTTGCAGATTGGGTGGCAAGGGCGTCCTGCCTGGGGACCTGTCTCCTCCCTACTGAGTCCTGGGCAAGGCTGAGCACCCGGATGGGGAGGTTGGGAAGGTCCAGGTGTGGGCACTCGGCAGACCAGGTGGCGGGTGTGCTGGCCAGCCATCGTCCAGGTGGTGATTCACACTCGCTGAATGCGTTTGGAGACCAGCTCACCTGCCCTCTGGCCCGGTTCTGACCTGTGCACAGCGATGGAGGACACGGCTGGCCAGCTCTGCCCCCGTCCATCGTGGACAGGTCTTTCAACCTGTTGGAGCCTCCGTTTCCTCTAACCTGGGGATAGTAGAAAAACCTGCCTTCTGGGGTTGGGGTAGGTGAGCTAATCCTGTGGGCAGTACTTCGAAGTGTTCCCAGTATTTTAAGCATTTTTTAGGGAATTAAAAAGAGAAGCTCTCAGCCCTCGCTGGTGGTGCAGCAGGTTGAAGTGCAGCACTGTGAAGCTATTCGCAGCCACTGCAGCACAAGTTCGATCCCTGGCCAGGGAGGGACCCACAGGGTATAGCAGCCCTCTCCTCTCTCCCCGCTGCTCCCCTCAGCAGTGTGCTTTGTCTGTTTGCCTCTTCTGCTCCCCACTCTGTCTCTGGTGAAGCCTCTCAACCCCTGCACCTCTGGCTTGTACCCTAGTTCTGTATGCATAAAAAAAATCTTTAAGAAATAAAATAAAAAGAGAAACTTTGAATAGATCTAAGGAATTAGGACATTTCATTCTGTTGGAGGAAACTGGTTGTAATGAGCCATCTTGTGGAAGATCTTCCTAGTCCTTCAGCGGAAGAGTTGAGTGCCCACCTGCACGTGTAGGCACCAAAGAACCTCCTTCAGCCGTGGGAACTGTGTGAGGTGCTGGGCAGGGTTTTTTTATTTTGGTTTTTTTGCTCAGTCATCTTTAGTGTCAGGAAGGCTAATGCCGGGGTGACTTATTTCAACAAATCCCTTGGGTTAGGAATCGAAAAACCCTTCCCTAGGTGAGCTGATGTGTCTGTCCTGGGCTCTGCCATCTTGCCAACCATAAAATAACGGTAGGGAGGTGGCCTCAAGAAAGAGCGGGGTGGGAGGGCACTGACTGAAACGGGAGAAGCCGCTCGGGCGCGGCGCCATCCCCGTCTGCAGATGCCCGCGGGCCAGGGTCGGTGACTGAGAGTAAGATGCTGCGTGTACAAGCACTTTGAAAATAAAAGTGTTTTATGTTCACAGTATTGTTATTAGAATAATTTTACTACCAACTCATCAGGAGCGCCTAGCAGATTAACGAGGTGGCCTGACACGCGTAGTATATTTGGAGCTCTTTGGAAGCAGAGTGAGCAGACGCCCGGTGTCCCGGGCCCGGAGAAGCCAGCCGGGCTGGCTCACGCCGAGTGGGCCGCTGCGAGGCGCGGCCGTTCCTTGTGCGGAACCAGTCTTCAGGGGTAGCGTCTCGGTGTAGGGCTCAGGACCTGCCAGCGGGTGGGGTGCGGGCTGGCGGGCGGGCGTGTTGCAGCCAAGTCAACGGGGCACGGGCCCTGGGAGGGGCGCAGGGGTGGCTGCCTGGGCCGCAGCTGCTTTCCTTCTCCCAAGGTGACTGTTTTCTGATGGCTTTGTCCACACAAGGTCCGTTTGCTAGTCCAGGGTCACCCGCGATTCCCGGTGTCTGGCAGGAGGTTATGGTCGTACATGTGGGACTTGATAGCCATGATCAATTTTATACTTTAATCGGGGGTGGAGGGGTGGGAGGGAGCTGAAGGTGATGGGGGGTAGAAATACAGCTGTCATCAAGACCAAGGAGGTTTTTAGGGTAAGGGTAGCACGGAAACATCCCATAACATAACATTTTATTTTAGTCCTTTTTCCTCCTTTATTTAAGAAGTAAAAAAAAAACTAGTAACGAGCTGAGTATTTGAGCTTCCACGAATTCTTTTCAGCGTCTCAGGTAAAATAGCTGAAACTGTTGGAAACATCGGAATGAAGAAATAGACGTTTAACCCCGACAGCGATCCTACTCCCTGTCAAAACCTGGAATATAACTCATCTGTCACGTTCTGAGTCTCGCAAAAGTGTGTCAGCTGTGACCTATAAAGGGAGCAACTTCTGACTGCCTTTGACTTTTAGCCACTAATCCACACCTGCTATCCTCCCTCTTCGGACTCAACATCCCTTGGAGGGGGGGGGGGGGCTGTCCGGGAGGACAGGGACGAGAGCGCCTCTGGGTTTTCTCTGGGCTGGCCTGGCTCCCCTGCCTGAAGGGGGTTCGTGTCGGTTCTCTGACTAGTGTGGGGAGTGTGTCCCTAAACTGCGTCAGCCTAGGCTTGCACTGGATCAGAGATACCGCAGCCTTCAGAGATGCTCTTACTGTCAGGCCCGTGGCTCCTTCCCAAGCTTGCCAGCCCGGGTCCCTGTGGCCAGGCGAGGGACCCAAGACACGCACTTGGCGTAACTTGAAATCAGGAGACAGGACAGAGCCTGCTTGGTGTTGGCTCAGTCGCTGACTTCAGAAGCGCTTCCTTCAGCGTCGCTGCCCACGCCCCGGCACGTGCAAACACGGGTGACCTAGGTTTGAGGCCTGGAGTGAGAGGGCTTGTTACACGTGTGCGCCCTTGTTTGCAGTCAGGTGGGGGCCCCGTGGTTTCTAAGCATTGTTCTGAAAAAAGAAGCACCCAGGTTTTTGAGGGGTTTGTATTTAGAAGTAGAGAAATGGAAACGCTGAAGGTGAAAATGTGCCCTTCTGCTTACAAAGGCTGGTGCTCGCGGCCTGGGCGGGCCACGCCGGGGCGGGGCTGTGGTCACTCCTCAGCTGTGGTCACACCAGAGCCTTTGGCCAGAGTATGAGCGCTGCCCTCTTAGCCCCGTGGGTGCCCAGGAGGCGCCGGCCACACGTGGGGCTGAAAGCGGCCTGTCTCTCTTCTTGCCCCGGCCTCCCTGGCGGCCTGTGCGCAGCGTGCCCTGGAGATGCGAGATCCCCCTTCGGCAGCAGGAGGCGCACACCCGGAGGATGCTGGAGCTGCGAGGGGAGAGGACCCACGCCCACAGCAGAGAAAGGCAAAGAGGAAAAAGGCGGCCCGGCGGCCAGCACTAGGGGACGCGCCCACGCGGTGGGCCCCGCCGCGGCTCAGCAGCCTCTGCCGCCGCTCGCCTGTGACCGAGCGCAGGGCTCCAATCAATGCATTCCAGTAACCCTAAAGTGAGGAGCTCTCCGTCGGGAAACACACAGAGGTGAGGAGGCTCCTGGGCGGGGCCGCGGGGGCGGGGGGGTCTGCACCGGCGTCCTGGGAACACCCCAGCGGAGGAGTCCGCGGAGCTAGATCAGATGACACCCCAGTGGGGCGCCCCACCCTCCTCACCACTGCGAGGGAGGGCCCCAGCCACCCGGTCCGGTGTGCTGGACTCAGCCATGGACACCAGGCCCAGCGCTCGTCTCCAGTGCTGGCCTCTGTGCCAGGCAGGAGCGTGTGCTGCCGTAGCCCGCCGGGGGCTGGCATCAGGAGGTGCTCGGTGCCCGGCTGCAGCAGGCTGCCCCGCCGGGTGGCCGGGCTGGGCTGTCACAGCTGTTCTGCCGCGGCGGGGCTGAGGTGGGGGTGGCCGGTATTTTGATCTTAACGATGCCTGTTTGTTTATCCGAGCGAGTCTCGGTGTGAGTGTCGCTGCTCTGTGTACATAGAAACCGTGTCCGTCATTGGCAGAGCCCTGGAGACAGGTCCCCATGTGACTGCAGGGTTCCCGGCCCCGGCAGGCCGCTGCCCGACCCCCTCCCAGGCGAGGGCTGTGGCATGCGAACAGGGTGGGGGGGCAGGCCAGTGGCAGAGGTGGGATGGGGGGGTCACTCGGCCCTTAATGGTTCCTCCACGCCCGGTGCTGACCTCTGCGTCCCGTGTCTGACCCCATTGTCATCTCTCTCTTTCAGTAGCCCTAAGTCAAAGCAGGAGGTGATGGTCCGTCCCCCCCCAGTGATGTCCCCATCTGGAAACCCCCAGCTGGATTCCAAATTCTCCAATCAGGGTAAACAGGGGGGCTCAGCCAGCCAATCCCAGCCATCCCCCTGTGACTCCAAGAGTGGGGGCCACACCCCTAAAGCCCTCCCCGGCCCAGGTGGGAGCATGGGGCTGAAGAATGGGGCTGGAAGCGGTGCCAAGGGCAAGGGGAAAAGGGAGCGAAGCGTTTCCGCCGACTCCTTTGACCAGAGAGACCCCGGGACGCCAACCGACGACCCCGACCTGAAAGGTACGTCTGCGCATGCTCGCTCGCAGGGCGGAGGTCCGGGGAGGCCTCCGGAGGTGCCTCCGGGCCTAGCGTGCTTAAGTGGGACCCAGGCGGCCACTGGGCTGCGACAGTGTCCCCTCCCCTGCCCCTGCCTGAGGCGCGAGGCCCCTCCCATGGCACTCCTGCCCTCGGGGCGCTCGGGCGCATGCCCGCCGGCCTTGTGGCGTTTCTGGCCTCCAGGCTGTTTGCACTCAGCACCGAGCCAGTCGCTCTGTTCGGCCTGTGCCAGGCTAGGGCCATTTTTCTGACAGCTTCTCCTCCTCTCCATTGATGAGTCCTCCAAGGTCTGGGCTTTGCGCCCCCGGCTGCCCCTTCGCGAGAGCCGCAGACAGGCCGCCTGGCCCCAGGCCAGACCTGGCGTGGCCAGCGGCACCGTGGCAGCAGGCGCCGACGGCAGGCAGAGACGGGACGGGCGCCCGGTGGAGCTGAGGGAAGAGGAGGGGCCGGCCGTGGCTGGGGCTTTGTTCCTTCTAGTACAAAATCAGAAATCCGAGCTAGGCCAGAGTCTGAAGCTAGTGCACGGGCCTGTGAGTGAGGTTCCCCGACAGCGGACTGACTTCTTGTTACCTCTCCGCGCCTCCGGCGTGGGCGGGGGCTGCTCTGCGGGCCAGCGCTATGCTGGCTGCTCGGGGCTGTGGTCAGCCAGAGAGGGCACAGTGCTGCCCTCCAGGACTGGGTACACCAGGCAGCATGAGCAACTGCAGTAGAGCTGGTAAAGGTAAACTCAGAGGAGCTGGGCTGTGTTTCCAGCGGGGCCACTGGCCCAGTCCAAAGGGCTCCAGAAAGGTTTCCCTCAGCAGGGCCATGCAGTGCCGTCGGAGCAGGGGGCAGCGAGGGGCGGGCAGTGCTCTGCGACTGGCCACCTGCGGAGCAGAGAGTTTGAATGCTGTGAGGGAAAGCGGCTTCCTGTAAGCCAAGTCCTCCCTCCCTGAGACGCTCGAGGTGGCTTTGTGCTGTGCTGCAGTAAATGCTGGCAGGAGAAAGACTTGCCTCCTCTCTGTGACGCGTCTTCTCGTCCTTCCAGAATGTAATTCTGCCGACCACATAAAGGCCCAGGACTCCCAGCACACGCCGCACTCGATGACTCCGTCAAACGCTGCAGCCCCCAGGCCTTCCACCCCGCCCCTCGGCCAGGCGGCCGCCCCCGAGCCTGCCCCTGCTCAGAAGACCCCCGCCAAAGTGGTCTACGTGTTCTCCACCGAGATGGCCAACAAGTAAGTCGGCAGCGGTGTCTCGCTGTTGACCTGTGCGGGCCCCTTTTGGCGTTTGCGCAGAGGCCGGCCCTCGTGGCACCCGCTCGGACGATTGTCACCGGGACGGCCAGCCCCGAGAGAGGCCGTCCCGCCCCCAGGCCCCGGAGACAGCCACGTGCCGCGCCCTCGGCTTTCCTTCCAGAAGTATTCTGTGCTTTGGCAAATACACAGACGCGTCTGTCTTACTCGCGAAAGGGACTGGGAAACAGATCCACTTACCTGCCGCTTAGTCTTCTTTCTTAAAGTGACTTAAGTGATCCGTGTCCATTTTCGAATAATGATAATTGTAAGGTAGAAATAACTAGACTCTCTGGAACGCAGAGGGGACGTGGGACTCTAGGTGTGTGGTGTCTCTTAGGTGATGGATGGATTCCTGGAATTTTACTTACCTGTCAAAGTGTGACGAGTGCACCTCCATACGGTTTTCTGACTCTTCTCGCGTATTTTAAGCGTCCGAGTGGATCTCGACCAGCTCTGACTGTCTGTGGGTTGGGAGACGCCGCGTTTTCTCTCCTGGGGCTGGGGTGTGAGCTGGGATTGGGCCCAGGGAGAAGGTTTGTCTTAACGCCGCTCTGGCGTTGTGCCGGCTCTCTGACTCCCCGGGCGAGCTGGGAAGCGTGGCGGACCCGTCTCTCTCTCTTCGCTCTTCGCCCTCCCCACGGTGATGCTCTGACTGTTCTCGCGTGTGGCCCGCCTGGGCTTCACGTGCTTTGGCGCCGCTGCGCCTGTGGGCCGGCCGCCCATCGGTGCCCCCTTGTCTCCGCAGGGCTGCAGAAGCCGTGCTGAAGGGCCAGGTTGAGACGATTGTCTCTTTCCACATCCAGAACATCTCCAGCAGCAAAGCCGAGAGGAGCGCGGCCCCTCTGGTACGTGGCTCTGCGAGACCGTGGGCGGGCAGGGTGATTCTGGGGATGGGCACACAGCACTGGTGTGCCGGGCTGCGAGTCCCTCGCCTGGCCACGCGGCTTGGGGTGCTGCACGTTCCGCTAGAGGCTCGGGCGGGGGAGGATGCCCGTGGGGGCCAAGGTCCCACAGGTACCATCTCAGAGAGACCCTGTAGACAGAGCAGGTTTAAAACACTCACGAGCCAGTCGAGCAGAGAACAGCGCCGGCTAAAGCCACGGGGCGGAGGTGCATGCTGATGGCACCCTGAGGGGAGTCCAGGTGACACTCAGCGTCGGTCTCTTCATTTCAAAGCCGGAGGACCACTGAGAGCGACGAGCTGCTTACTAGCCCAACAGGTGTTGTAAACTCAGGTCTCTTCCCTGGAATTCAAGCTTCTATAATAAACGACGCTAGAAAATAATTCAGGGGTCATGTTAGGACACGTCACGCCCGACTAGATGAAAAGGTCGCTGCAGCCGTGGGCGGCACTGTCAAGGCGGCGCTGTGGGGCCGAGGGGCGCACTGGGGCTCAGGATGCGGGAGACAGGAAGCCTCGTGCCGGCTGGGCCTTGGACACGGGCACGTTTAGTAACACTAAGCAGCCACAGTAACCCCCACGATAAAACAGGGCGCCTGGTCGGTCCGTTGTCGAGGACGTTCCTTCTGTTGACGCAGTCGAGCGGGCCTGGCTTCCCTGGACGCAGAGAAGGGCTCGGATCCTCGTGTCCCTGTGGCTCGGGACGGGCCCTACAACATGTAACGCGCGGGTTTGTTTGAAACATCGATCTGTTGGAAGTGTGCGTTGTCTGGGATGCAGAGGGCACACTGCCACTCAGACCCACAGTTTACTGACATGCGCACAGCATTCCCACCTCTGCCTTCTCTGTCCTAAAATGAACCCACGGAGGGAGCTGGAGGCAGGCAGATCGCAGTTGCTGCAAACCCAGCGTTGGGAGGGGGGTGCCGGGCTGCTGCTGGGGAAGCCCACGCCCACCCCCGACAGAGCACACAAAACCTGACCGACAGAAACTCTTGTAAAGAGCCCTGGAAAAACTCAGATGGCCCCCATGAAGGAGCGCACCGCCCCCCGCCGTCCAGGCCACTCGTACCCCCGCACCCGCCTCTGCGACACATGCGTGGAGACCTCCTGGGGAAGCCGAGCGGGGCGCTCAGGGGTGCCCTCGGCGTTCGTGCGGCACAGGCTGCTCCCACCAGAGCCACACGCGACGCCCCTTGCAGATCGGCAGGCAGATGGCCTCCCCGCGTGGGTGGGGAGGAAGTGAAAACGGCCCCGAGGGGCCCTGCCGAGGCCGCGGGCGGTCTCTGGGCAGGAATTTGCAGACTGGACTCCTGGCCCCGTCGCCCCTTCCCTTAGTATCCTCAGCAGGACCGAGGTTTAGATCCAGAACACAGAACATCACTCTTCCAAACAGGTGTTCACGTCACCTGTTCCAGGTGAGCGTGCTTTCATCCAGGATCTGGTGTAGCTTCGGTTCTTAATAAATAATAAGCCCGTCAGCCCGCCCGCAGAAAGGGCAGGGTGCTGTCTGTTGGAAAGAACAGATCAAGAGACACCCCGAGCTAGATAGCCTCAGATTTCTCCCCCGCGCTTCCTGCCACAGGTAACCTTACTATAGTTAATGTACAAACTCCTATCTAGTATGGAATCGGTGATCGCAGACTGAAAACAGAAACCGGAGGTGTCAGGCCCCCTGGAAACTCAAGGCGGGTTGCGCGGCCGTCCCGGTGCCAGAGTGGACGCCGCGGAGCCTCCTGGCCTGCCGCTCGCGGCCCTGCGGCGAGCACATCAGGCCTGTTGACGGCGGGGACTCTGCGCACTGGCTGTACGTTCAGGGAAAAGAAGAGGCGTTAGGCGCAGCCTCCCGCACACCAAGTAACGAATCTCCCTGAGTCAGAAGCACACAGCAGACACGGGGCGGCAGGCCTGTCCACACCTGGAGACCGACACTTAGCACTCACCGCCGGTGAGACCTGACCTCCCGCCGGGGAGGCGGCCCACCGGCAGGACAGTGGGAGAAGCGCAGGCCTCTGCGTGTGCGCGGCGGGGCTGTCCAGGCGGGCGCTGCAGCCGCGAGGTGCAGGTCTGTGCGGGGTCAGGGCCTCGTGACGCGCCGGCTCTTTTTCTTGCCCTTCCGTTCAGCTTACCGACGACCTTCTCAATTTTTCTCAGAACACACAGATCCCTGCCCTGCGGAACGACCCCAAGCCTCTCCCGCAGCAGCCCCCAGCTCCAGCCGGCCAGGACCAGAACTCGTCCCAGAACGCCAGGCTGCAGCCAACCCCACCCGTCCCGGCACCAGCACCCAAGGCTGCCCCACCGCCCCGGCCCCTGGACCAGGACAGCCCGGGGGCAGAAAGCAAGCTGATTGCCTCCGTGGGCAGCCCCGCCAGCACCACCCCGCTGCCCCCCGACGGTACCGGGCCGAGCTCCACGCCCAACAACCGAGCCGTGACCCCGGTCTCCCAGGGGAGCAGCAGCTCTTCGGCAGATCCCAAAGCCCCCCCGCCCCCGCCGGCGCCCAGCGGAGAGCCCCCCACGCTGGGCGAGAACCCCGATGGGCTCTCCCAGGAGCAGCTGGAGCACCGGGAGCGCTCCCTGCAGACGCTGCGGGACATCCAGCGCATGCTCTTCCCTGACGAGAAGGAGTTCGCAGGAGGGCAAAGCGGGGGGCCCCCGCAGAATCCCGGGGTGCTAGATGGACCTCAGAAGAAAACAGAAGGGCCGATACAGGCCATGATGGCTCAATCCCAAAGCCTCGGCAAGGGGCCCGGGCCCCGGACAGACGTGGGCGCGCCCTTCGGCCCGCAAGGACACAGAGACGTGCCCTTCTCTCCGGACGAGGTGGTCCCGCCTCCCCTGGGCTCCCAGCCCGGGCCCACGGGGCCCGGCCACCTGGACCACATGACCCCGGAGCAGGTGGCCTGGCTGAAGCTGCAGCAGGAGTTCTATGAGGAGAAGAGGAGGAAGCAGGAGCAGGTGGTCGTGCAGCAGTGCGCCCTTCAGGACATGATGGCGCATCAGCACGGGCCTCGCGGCATGGTCCGGGGGCCGCCCCCGCCCTACCAGATGACCCCCGGGGACGGCTGGGGGCCCGGGGCTGCCGAGCCGTTTGCCGACGGGCTCAACATGCCGCACGCCCTGCCCCCGAGGGGGATGGCTCCCCACCCCAACATGCCGGGGAGCCAGATGCGCCTCCCGGGGTTTGCAGGGATGATGAACTCTGACATGGAGGGGCCCAGTGTCCCCAACCCAGCGTCCAGACCGGGTCTTTCTGCAGTCAGTTGGCCAGACGATGTGCCAAAAATCCCAGACGGTCGAAACTTCCCGCCCGGCCAGGGTGTCTTCAGTGGCCCCGGCCGAGGCGAGCGCTTCCCCAACCCCCAGGGACTGTCTGAGGAGATGTTCCAACAGCAGCTGGCAGAGAAGCAGCTCGGGCTGCCCCCGGGGATGAGCATGGAAGGGGTCAGGCCCAGCCTGGAGATGAACAGGATGATCCCAGGCACCCAGCGGCACATGGAGCCCGGGAATAACCCCATTTTCCCGCGGATACCAGTGGAGGGCCCCCTGAGCCCTTCCAGGGGCGACTTTCCTAAAGGAATGCCCCCCCAAATGGGCCCCGGCCGGGAGCTGGAGTTCGGGATGGTCCCTGGAGGGATGAAGGGAGAGGTCAGCCTAGGCGTCTCCATGGGGTCCAACTCGCAGATGATACCTCAGAAGATGCGAGAGGCCGGGGCGGGCCCTGAGGACATGATGAAGCTGCGCCCGGGCGGCGACGCGTTGCCCGCCCAGAAGATGGTGCCCCTGCCCTTCGGAGAGCACCCTCAGCACGAGTACGGCGCGGGCCCCCGGCCGTTCCTCCCCATGTCTCAGGGGCCCGGCGGCGGCTTGCGGAACCCCAGAGAGCCCCTGGGGCCCGACCAAAGGACTAACAGCCGGCTCAGTCACATGCCGCCACTACCTCTCAACCCTCCCGGGAACCCCGCCAGCCTCAGCACCGCGCCCCTGGTCCAGCGGGGCCTGGGGCGGAAGCCTCTGGACATCTCCGCGGCAGGCAGCCAGGCGCACTCCCCAGGCATCAACCCGCTGAAGTCGCCCACGATGCGCCAAGTCCAGTCTCCCATGCTGGGCTCACCCTCGGGGACCCTCAAGTCCCCCCAGACCCCGTCACAGCTGGCGGGCGTGCTGGCGGGCCCGGCTGCCGCCGCTTCCATCAAGTCCCCCCCAGTTCTGGGGTCTGCTGCTGCTTCGCCTGTTCACCTCAAGTCTCCGTCACTTCCTGCCCCGTCGCCTGGCTGGACCTCCTCTCCGAAACCTCCCCTGCAGAGTCCCGGGATCGCTCCAAACCACAAAGCGCCCCTCCCCCTGGCCTCCCCAGCCATGCTGGGGAGCGTGGAGTCAGGTCAGTATGCGGCCTCACAGGGCTCACGGCTGGGGTGCAGGGCGGGTTCGTCCGCCCTAAGGATACCGGTGTGGGTGTGGGCGTGGCCTTGGCCGACGGGCGCCTGCTCAAGCCCGCGGGGTTGGCATGAGCGCGGGCTCCTGGCAGAGACGCGGGAGCAGAGCAGAGGGTAAGCGGCAGGAGAGGGCTGCTGAGGAGCCCCAGGCGGAGGGAGGAGTCCCCGGGCCAGTGAGGCGAGCGGGGAGGTGGCCGTAGGCTGAAGAAACCGTCTACCTCTAGGGAGCCCCCAGGGGGTGGCCCTTGTCCAGAGGTCGGGTATGACCGAGTGACGGGCGGGCGAGAGGTCTGCGGTCTCGCCTCCATGTTGCCCGCAGAAAGCGCCCCCAGACCACCTCGGCAGGCTCTGCCCCCGCAGACCAGCTCCGCCCCGTGAGTCTTCTTGCCGGCGGTGGTTTTGTGACTGGCACGGAGGTGGCAGGGGAGATGGGCACTGAGGTGTAAACACCGCGGCCGTGCTGTCCCCGCGTCAGAGGCCAGAGGAGGAAGAGGAGACCAGCCTGCCCGCCGGGGCCAGGCAGCACGCAGCCCCAGGGCGCCCTGGGTGCGCGGTCGCTGGGCTCGCGGGGCTCGCGGGGCCTCGGGCGCCTGCTCCAGGGTCGGACTCCAGTCTGCCGGGCGGGGAAGTCCCACTGATTGCGCCTATTTTCAGCAAAACGTTTGTCTGTGAGCCCCACTTCCCCGGGCTTGGGCCAGCATTTCGAGCACATTTGTTCCTGGTGAATTTGTCTTCCAGGGGCTGACCCCGCGTGCGCTCGGCCCTCTCCCTTGGGCCAGGAGCTGGGGCGGGGGAGGGGCGCGGTCTGACCACACGTCTTGTCCATGTGTCTCCGCCGGCCTTGCTGGCTCCAAGTCGGGGCCGGCGCCTTCGAGAGGAATCTAATTTGCCGCCTGTTTTTTCTTTCTAATTTCGCTTTCTCCTCCCAGGGGGCCCCCCGCCCCCCACAGCCAGCCAGCCTGCCTCTGTGCCGATCCCCGGGAGCCTCCCCTCCAGCACCCCTTACACCATGCCCCCAGAGCCCACCCTTTCCCAGAACCCGCTCTCGATCATGATGTCCCGAATGTCCAAGTTTGCGATGCCCAGCTCCACCCCGCTGTACCACGATGCCATCAAGACCGTGGCCAGCTCCGATGACGACTCCCCTCCAGCTCGCTCTCCCAACTTGCCGTCGATGAATAACATGCCAGGTGAGGGGTCGGGAGACAGGCAGGGCGCACGCTCGCGTGGGCCGAGGCCGCAGCAGCCGATGGAGGCCCAGCGCGCCCGTGTGCTGGCGGGCGGGGCAGGGAAGCGGGCCCTTCTCGCCTGGCCTGTGGACAGCATCTGGAGCGGGAAACCAGCTCATGGAAAGTGTTAGTCCGGAGCGGTACCTAAAGCAGTCTCTGCTCAGCACGCCGCCCGCGTGCTCGGCTGCCAGGTGTTCTCCTGGGAGCGCGATCTCAGCCACGGGCAGCCACGGCATTGCAGGCCGTGGAAAGCCCCTGCTTCCAGCGAAGCTTCCTTAGGGCTAGATGGGTGGACTCCCCCTTCCCTTCAGGGGACTCCGCCCCACTCCCCCTGGTGCTCAGCGAGCGGGAGGTGCGGGGCGTGTGGCTGTCCCCGCCGCCCTGGCTGTGGGGTACACTCTGCAGCAGGCCTGGCTGGCAGACTAGACACGCTCTGTGGCGGCAGGGCGCCCAGGCGTGCCCCAGGTGCCAGGCGTCCCGGGCAAGCCGAGTGCTGCCCTTTCCCGTTCACAGCGGTCTGTCCTCGGACATCCCACGCCGGAGTTGGGGACAGCGTGGGGTGCGGCGCGGGGTGGCCTTGTTCTGCATCTGGGGCCTGCAGGCGGGCGAGCTCGGTGCCCTCTCCGGAAAGGACCACGCGGGCGCCACTCGGTTGCCTTCTTGTTAAACGTCCGCAGTGAAGGAAACCGCACCCCTCTGGCCTTCACACAGGAGCCGTTCTCCTCGGCCCTCTCCTGCAGCGCCGAGGCCGCAGCGCACGATGCTGGCAGAGAGTCTCCCAGAGCCCAGATCACGGGCCCAGAGCCTGCCGGGATCCTTTGGGGACGGGATCGTGGGCTGTGCACGCCCGGCGTTCTGTGCTAACTTGACTTGTGCAGTTCCTTTCGTTGACTCTTTATTTTTATTTGGTATCTTTATTTTTCTAGGAATGGGCATTAATACGCAGAATCCTCGAATTTCAGGTCCAAACCCCGTGGTTCCGATGCCAACCCTCAGCCCGATGGGAATGACCCAGCCGCTTTCACACTCCAGTCAGATGCCCTCCCCGAGTGCCATGGGGCCCACCATGCCTCCTCATGGCGTCCCGATGGGGCCTGGCCTGATGTCACACAATGCCATCATGGGGCACGGCTCCCAGGAGCCGCCTCTGGCGCCTCAAGGACGGATGGGCTTCCCCCAGGGCTTCCCCCCGGTACAGTCTCCCCCACAGCAGGTGCCCTTTCCTCACAACGGCCCCAGTGGGGGGCAGGGCAGCTTCCCAGGAGCTATGGGGTTCCCCGGAGAAGGCCCCCTTGGCCGCCCCAGCAACCTGCCCCAAAGTTCAGCAGATGCAGCACTTTGCAAGCCGGGAGGCCCCGGGGGGCCCGACTCCTTCGCTGTCTTGGGGAACAGCATGCCTTCGGTGTTTACAGACCCGGACCTGCAGGAGGTCATCCGACCTGGGGCCACCGGGATCCCCGAGTTTGATCTGTCTCGCATCATCCCATCGGAGAAGCCCAGCCAGACACTGCAATATTTCCCTCGGGGAGAGGTCCCGGGCCGGAAGCAGCCCCAGGGTCCTGGACCTGGGTTTCCGCACATGCAGGGGATGATGGGCGAGCAGGCGCCCAGGATGGGACTAGCACTGCCTGGCATGGGTGGGCCAGGGCCAGTGGGCACGCCGGACATACCTCTCGGGACGGCGCCGTCCATGCCGGGCCACAACCCCATGAGACCACCAGCCTTTCTCCAGCAAGGCATGATGGGCCCTCACCACCGGATGATGTCACCAGCACAGTCGGCGGTGCCCGGCCAGCCCGCCCTGATGAGCAACCCGGCGGCCGCCGTGGGCATGCTCGCCGGCAAGGATCGGGGGCCCGCGGGGCTCTACGCCCACCCCGGGCCCGTGGGCTCACCGGGCATGATGATGTCCATGCAGGGCATGGTGGGCCCGCAACAGAACATCATGATCCCCCCGCAGATGCGGCCCCGGGGCGTGGCCACCGACGTGGGCATGGGCGGCTTCAGCCACGGGCCCGGCAACCCCGGAAACATGATGTTTTAAGCTGCTAAGCGTGGGTGTGGCGCCAAGCTCGGCCGGGCGCCACGAGGCCCGAGGCCGGCGCGCGGGAGGGCTCGCGAGTGCGTGGGTGAGCCTGAGAGCCGAGCGCCATCTGAGCAACAGGTGTGTTTCTTTAAGGTTTATTTTTTAAAGATTATTTTTGTGGACTTGGGCGCTGGCGGCGCCGCCCTGTATGTTTACGTCCCCGGACTGGCTTCTCCCAGGGTTCGGTTCTGGTTTCGTTTCTTGCTTTGGGCTTTATTTTTGTGTGTACTGTACCATATTGTAAAAGGGATTTTAGCAGAGACCTTAGTCTTTGGGACAGGAGCAGGAATGCTGGGCTGTTTACTCTGGTGGAGAATCCGTCTTCGGCCCTCCGGACTATTTTCTTTCAACTCCAGTGTATAGAAAAACCAAACTACGACCTCAGAGCAGAGTATTAATGAAAAGCACAAAAAGGAACTAAGTTCAGCGCGGGGCGGGGGGAGGGTTTCTTTCTAAGGTGACGCTACGTAGGGGTTTGTCTCGTCCGGCGCGCCAGCGCCCGCCCACGCCCCCAGCCCGCAGAGCCTCGGGCCGCCCCGCCGGCCCTCCCTTGGATCCCCGGCGCCGTGTCCCCCGCGTGCCCCACTGGTGACCCCGCCCGAGGCTCCGGTCCTCCCTTCGGGCAGCTGCAGGACACCACAACCCTTGGGGCCCTCGGTGTGCAGAGGCCTCGCACCCGCCGGGGGGCCTGGGCCCGTGTGCTCCCTCCGCCGCCCCTGCCCACCTCGTTTCCGTTCTTTGATTAGGAATTCCCAAGTGGACTTCATTGCTGTGGGAGTGGAACCGACGCTAAAAGCTATCCAGGATTTTGTTTTTGTTTTTAATTTTGTGGTTCCTCCCCTCCCCGCCCCCCCATGCGTAAAACGTTCTGTGTAACCTCCATTAAATTTGGTACAAAACCACTCACCAGAGAGCTGTGGTGTCAGAAAAATAAAATATATTGTTTCTTACAAAACTGAACCGCCTTCCTGTCCGTGTGCGTCTGCTGGTTTAGTATCGGGCTTTGCAGCCGCGCGACCGGAAAAGTCGCTCCGGCAGGGGTCGACGGGTGGGGAGGCTGGGGGGCGCCAGTGGCCTCCGGGTCGAGCTGCTGCTAGGGCAACCTGGCCCACCGCTGGCCTTCACCTGCAGGGGCAGCGAGCGGACTTTGCTTGGGGTGCATGTGAGTCGGTTTAACCGTGTCAAGTCAGGCGACCGGAGCACAGTTTGGGGGAGCAAGCTCTTGAGTGTCCCCGCGTCTTGTTATCAAGTCTTGTGAGTCGTGGTTTGGCTCCGGGTCTGGCGGCTCTCCCTGCCGCCCCGCCAGGCCTCCCCTGCCCCACCCCAGCACCCGAGTCCTGCCTGGCGTGTGTCCCGGGCCTGGCGGTGTCTTCGTGCACGGAGCTTGCCCGTGTGCGTGCGTGCGGTGCACGCACGTGTGTGCTGTGTTGCGCTGAGTGAGGCGGCGTCTGGCACGTTTGTCCGCAGGTCAGCAGAGGGAAGGGAGGCAGGTACAGAGGCATCCGGCAGCCTGGCACAAACCCGCTCTGCTGGCGTCTCGCATCTGCCTCGCCTGGACTCTGTCCCAGGGAGCGGTGTTCTTGGGGGCGGCTTCCTCGGCCTCCAGCAGCCCAGGCTGCCGGTAACAGCCACCTGGGGGGGGGGGGGGGGGGGGCAGCAGGCGGCGCCCCATCACCCCCATCACCTCCAGCTGGTTCTCTGGCTGCTTCCTGAGGGGCCGTGGTCAGCACAGAGGAGAAAAGCAAGCCTGTTCCGGACTCCGGGGTCACGCAGAAACTGGGAGAATTAAATGATCTGTGCCACAAACTCAGCCACGTGCCTGGGTTCACTGAAGTCTACCGAGAGCAGGTGAGGCGAGGGCCCCTGGGAGGCTGAGCGCTGGCGTCTGTCCGCCGCCCCGGTTCCTGGATGTGCTGCTGTCCCTGGTGGTTGTGGCCGGTCTCACCGCTTCTGCCCCAGGCGGGTAGTCTGAGCAGGCCCCTTGGAAGGGGGCAGGGCTGGGCGGAGCGGGGAGCTGGCGGGGCTCAGGGGCAGCGGGTGTGGCGACGCGTGGTGCCCTTGCCCAGCCACCTGCTGGGCCGAGCAGTGGGCAACCTGCATACCTGGGCAAAGTCTTCGGTCTTGACAGGCCCCTTTCTTCTGTCTTATTTACATATCGGCACAGACCACCGGTTCATCATGATGGTTTCTGCTAAATTAGCTTTATTTGGGCTTTAACCGTAACTTTCTGATTTACTAAGGTCAGCCAGGAAGCCACACTTGGAGAGACTGGCTGCTACTGTAGCCTGGAGAGCTACTGTTACAAAATTTTTAACAATCAAGATAAAGTTACAATAGGGGCCTCCCTGGTGGGGCAGCCAGTTCAAGCGCAGCACTATGAAGCTGTCTGCAGCCGCTGCAGCACCAGTTCGATCCCGGCCAGGGAGTGTTCACAGGGTGCAGCAGACCTCTCCTGTCTCCCCGCGGCACCCCTCACAGTGCACCTTGTCAGTCTGCCTGTTCTGCTCCCCACTCTGTCCCCAGTGAATCCTCACCCCCCCCCCGCACCTCTGGCGTGTGCCCCAGTTCTTGTATGCATACGTGAATAAATCTTTTTTAAAAAAGATAAAGTTACCATAAAGACGTTTTGTGTCAACTTCACCCTGTGGACACCCTGGCAGCGCCCACCCCCAAAATTTTGGGATCGAATGGAGGGGGCGCAGTAAAGATGTGTTAGTTCATTCCAGGGGGGTGGAGTGGTGTGGGTCAGAGCAGAACTTCTTAAGAAAAAATGAGTATGTGGTATTTTCCCTAAATCAATAGGAAATAAGGTAATTTATTTTTAAAACTGGCGCATGGGAATGGAAAAAAACCGTAATTGTTGGGGTTTGATGGAGGGCGAGGCATGAGAAAAATCATGCAACTTCAAAACAAGTTTGTGTATCTGAAAGCTTCTCTGAAAGCAGCCACCCCAAATCCGCCCAGCCTGCTCACCTGAGCACCTTCCCCGCCGTAACCACAAGACAGCTGTGCGCTTCAGCACGGCCCAGTGGGCAGCCGTGCGTGTGCCGGGGCCCGCGTTTCCGTTCTGCCCTGCACCCCAGAAGTGACATAACCAGTGAACAAGAAAAGTCACAGCCCCACAGGGGGGTTGGGGTCCTGCTCTCGCTCTAGTCGTAACTTTCTCCTTGGCCAGCAGGGGCCTCAGACAAGTGCGTGCTGTGTTCTCTTAAGCCATCTGGCCCTGGGCATCGCCCCAGCCTCTCCCTTCCGAGTGCTCTCAAGGTGCTGGCAGGAGAGGGGAGCTGCACTCGGCCGGCTGCAGGACTCCCTCATTCCGTAGCCGCTCGGAGAGCACTGCGTGCCTGCCTGCCTGCGTGCCTGCCCGCGTGCCTGCCTGCGTGCCTGCCTGCATGCGAGTGTGTGTGCAAAGCCTGCTCGGCTGGGGTGGGAGTGCCTGGGGCCTAACTGAAATGGACCTTTCTGGACAGAGGGCGTTTCTACCGCGAGGCTGGGCGGCCAGGGAGTGGGCAGTGAGCCCAACAGACAGGTGAGGGGTGAATTGCCCTTGGGGGAGCACTCCCGGAGAAGGCTGGCCTGGGTAGGTGTCCCAGAGCAGCCAGGGCCTCTGGAAGTGCGGTGGTGCTTTGAAGGAGGTGGGGGAGGGAAAAGAGCCGAGGGCGGGTCCTGGAGAACTGGGTGCGCCCCATGAAGGAGTCTGAACTTCGAAGCTTCAGGCAAGGGAATGGGGTCAAATTTCCTCTTCAAAAAGCTTCCTGGCTGGAGGGGGGGGGAGGACCCCTCAGGAAGTCAGCTTTCACAGGGGGCTTGTAATCTACCCTGAAGTCAGCTCAGCTCTTCTGCTCAGGAAAAGCCCCTGGTGGGATTCTGTTTCCCAGCTGTCTACCTGACTGCAGGCTGCTGCCGCTTTCTGTCCTCTGACCCACAGCAAAGTCCACTGCTGATATTTAAGACTGTCAAATCTTAACGACACAATGCAAAGCAAACAGTTCAGAAAGCACAAGATCGGGCCTGTGGCCGACATACCCACTGGCCAGAGCCCCTCACGGTACCAGGCAGCCACTGCGCCCGCCCCTCACGCCCCTGTGCCCAGCCTGGGGCCTGCGAAGTCCACAGGGGCTGTGGGGCATGAGGTGGCCCCTGCAGAAAAGCTGGGGGTGGGTAGGAGAGGGGGGCGTGGGGGGGAACGCAGGCGGGAGGAAGCAGGTGAACAGCCAGGCCAGGCACCGCGCACCCGGAGGGGAGCCAGTGGCAAAACCACAGAGGGAAAGAAGAAAACCCCAAAGCCAAGGGGAGGAATTTTGCTTTGCTATGAGAAGCACCGGGAACCGGCTCCTGGGCTTCTCCTCATCTCACAGATGAATCCAGAGGGTCTTGCGGAGAGCATGGCAGTGCTGGCCGCTGACCGCTGGCGTGGCCGGTCCCCAGGAGCGGGAGGCCGCTGTGCGAGAGTGAGGGGAGGCGGTCGGGCCACCGGAGGAGCCGCCAAGAGGCCCTGGACTGGAGAGAAGGACCGGCGACTCGGCCGTGCCAGGATGCAGGGCAGCCCCACGGCGCCCGTGGCAGCGTCAGTTGGCATATTCACAAAGCGCCGGCACACGAACCAACCCGCTCTGCTCGTGGTGTCTTCCACCCACGCGTGTCCTTCAGACGCGCCCAGTGGAGGCGGCTCCCAGCCGGCGCTCGGACGCTCAGAAGCTGCGGTTGGCTGCCCCTAACTCCCGGCCACGCCCCCCGGGGGCTAACTATGGCCCCTCGGCCAGCCCCGGAGACCTGGTGGAGTTCCGGACCCTGCGCGGCTCTCGGCTGTCCCGTGCCGGTGTGTTCCTACTCTGAAAGTCTACCGCCGAGAACCGAACAAAGTGAGAGCCGGTGGTTGAACAGATCACCGGCCACTAGCGGGCCAGAGTGGACCTCTTTTTCCTGCTGTGGGGTTATACCAGAATTTTGGAACTGCAGACCCCTGAAGATAATAGTGTGGTATAATGATCAGACTTGCTAAAAGACTAGAACTTAATTATAGCAACTGAAAAAGAAATGGTAATTACGCAATGTGCGGAGGTGCTAATGATCGCTACAATGGCAATCATATTAGAGTAGATAAATGGGTCCCATCAACACCTCATATACCTTAAACCTACACAATGTTATATGACAATAAAAATGTGTCAATGCACAATGTTAGAGTTCAATAAAAAGAGAACACGGCAAGGTCTTTTTCATGTAAATTGAGTCATTGTCCTTAACCCCATAGTTTTAATTTTTTTATCCTGAACTCAGAATTTTGTAGTTATCCCTATTTAATTCCAATGCTAATATTGATCTATGGCTCCAGAACCTTAAAGTCCTAAGAAATTTGTTCAAAATTCCTTCGTATTAGTTTCGATGGCAGACCATGAAGGACAGGGTGCTCCCTGGTGGAGGGCGGGGGTGGGGGTGGGGGCTGTCACCAATGTCATCTCAAAGAAATTTAAAAAAACAAACCAAGCTTTTCATTCAGGTGATATAAGGGCCCAGTCCTGAAGTTCACACTCAGAGCTGCTATATTTTTTTCTTACCCTTTCTTTTTATTGATGTAGAATACGCATAACATACAAATTAGCCATTTCATTCACGTTCAAGTGTGCACTCACTAGATGACACAGCCGTCACCGCCATCCACTCTAGGGGTCTTCATCTTGCAAAACTGAGCCTCTGTACCCACTACATGATAGCTCCCACCCCTGCACTCCCTGGCCCTTGGCGCCACCACCCTGTCTCTGCTACCGCTTGGCGCCTTATATAACTGGACTCAATAGTTTGTGTCCTTTGCGAGTGGTCTATTTCACGTGGCATAATGTCTGGAGGCTTCATCCCTGTTGCAGCCTGCGTCAGAATGCCCTTCCTTTTGAAGGCTGTATACTATTCCATTGCCTTATAGACTGCTTTGTTTATCTCTTCCTTTG